AAACATACATCTCACATGTATGGATGTAAGAGTTGGACCATAAAGAAGGTTGAGCGGAACTGATGCTTTTGAATTGTGGTGCTGTAGAAGACTTGAGAGTCTTTCGGATTGCGAGGAGGTCAAACCAGTCAATCCTAAAGTAAATTAACCCTGAATATTTGTTGGAGGGACTGACGCTGAAGCTCCAATACTTTGGTCACCTTTTGTGACGAGCTGATTCACTGGAAAAGACCCTGATGCTGGGAAAGACTTGAGGACAAAAGGAGAAAGGGGTGGCAGAGGCTGAGATGGTTAGACAGTATCACAGCTTCAACAGACGTGAGTTTGAGCAAACTCTGGGAGATAATAAAGGACAGGGAATCTTGGAGTGCTGCAGGTTCATGGGGAATGCAGTCAGACACAATTTAGCAACTGAACAAGAGCAAACACTCTATGATTACATAATTGAAACCATTTTCCAAGGGATTGTTAAAAAAACAAGGATGACAAACTGTGCATACGAGGTGCCTCCCTAATAAAACATATCTAAATACATCCTTCATCACTTAAAAACACAATGCAGGCACTTCAACTACATTTCAGTTCTTGGGATACCATGTTCAGATCTTGTTAAGAACTTTAAAAGAATTTTTTTTTTGACAAACCAGGTGTCTCAACGAAAGGAGCCAAGGACAAATTAAAAAACCTATCATATCAGAAATAGTTGAAAGAAATAGGTATGTTTATAATCTGTAGAACAACTGGTTGGGAAAGAGATCACAAAACAAATGGCTGTCAAAATACTTGAAGATTACTAGGAAGGGACTTAAGGCTTACTCTACAGTATCTCCAAATAGGAAGACAAGGCCAGTGGATATCGTGTACACACAAATTTCTAACACACAGAACTGCAAATGACATCATCTGTCTCTCAAAACAGATTCCTCCAAAGGCAACTCAGAGATGAGGTGAACATCTATTAGAAAAGCATAAAGCATATGAGTAAAGATTGGCCCAGATTAGTGGGGTTCCAACCTTTTTTTTAAGGTTTTAGAATCTTTTTGAAATGCTCCTTAATATATGGATATTTATAAATCAGTTGTGAATTGCTGTTAACCTGTATATTAAATATTAGTAAAGGTAATAAAAACTTCATTCCTAAAAAAATGCATGTAGAAAGAGGTTCTAAATTTTTTCCTATATTCTAATGGTCACCTTATGCAACCCAGGGCAGTGCATGGAAGTATTCTGAAAGCTGTAATTAGTAACACCAGAAAAAAACACCACCAGAGAGGGATCTGACTCCCATCTCACCACACTGATTGGTAATTAATTGCCCTCATGGAGCAAGTCATTAGCTTCTGTGATCACAAACAGCAGGTCCAGTTACAAAAACCCAGCAGAATGGAGATAAAGGTCCGAGGAAATTAACTTATCAGTAGACTATTCCAGGCAAACTTTAACTGTCCATTAAAATGAGTTCTCTGAAGGAAAAAAAAAAAAAAAAAAAAAAAGAGTTCTCTGGGAAGATGAGGAGTAAGTGACTTGCACAGCATTTCCCAATTTTCCTGCATTTTCTGTCCTCTCTACTTGACTTAGACTATGAAAATATAGTACCAGAGTTTCCAAATGCTTGTACCAGAGTGGTGTAGTATGTCTAGCTAGTATGCCTAGCTCCAACAACAAAGAATTACAAACCCTCAAACTAAGCTGGATGCTTCATGAGTCAGGAAACAGATGGAGAGGGAAAGTCGTACTAAGAATTAAAAAGATTTAGAATGTTTCCACTCTGATCTAAGACTCCTCATTTTCAGAGAGAGCTGGCAGGCTTACTCTAAAGGAGAAGAGAGGCCTCATCCCGAGTACCCTGCCTCAGTGGAGGGGTGGATGGGTCCCCGGGTTCCAGCAATCCATAATTCATTATCAAATGCCCAAGCCAGCACATTAAAGCAAGATGATTTCATACTCCTCCCCTGCTCCCCCACAAGGAGGCAACCTTTATATCAGAACAATGTGCCCAGGAAAAGAATCTGAAGACACAAGGCATATCCCAGGCAAGGCATGTTGGAACGCTTAGGGGCACAATACCCTGTTCTCTCCACACGTCTACTAGTCCCCCCACCTCGCCCCCCCATTACACCCCCCAATTAAGGCTGAACCATGAGATCTCATGGTGGGTCCAGGCGGTCTTCCCTTTCTCCGTGGGTAAGCTCTAAAGAGGCCGAAGCTCTATGTGTTTGGTTTCCTCAATGTCTGTATACACATTATGAAAAGCAACGCTGGCTTGGGAGTCATGGAAAGCAAAATAGTGAGTCACTGTGCAACCGGTACATCACAAACCTGAAGGCCAGAAGATCCTGATCTGGTACATGGACCCAGACCAGGTAAAAAGCATCTAAGAAAACCTGTCCACCGCTAGGTTTACCTAAGTTAGTTGACCTTGGACAAATCACCAAGCCTCGCTGGGCCTCATCTTTACAATGAGGTGATGATGGACTGGACAGCCCTCTAAGAAATAAGCTCTTCTGAGTCGTGGCAGTCTATTTTTGAATTTATTAAAGCAAGCAACGAGGAAGTTTCTGCACAGTTGAAATTTTTCATAAAAAGGTCTGGGGGGAAAAAAGTGCTCCGCCTAAAAGCAAGAGCAACTGGTCTGGGTCCGCACCAATGGCCTCTCAGACAGAGGAAAGGGGAGAAAAGGGTCGGAGATTCAAGCTCGGGGACGGAGGGAAAGGTAGCGGCCGAGACCCCGGGGCAAAAGTGTGGCTGGAAACGGGGCTGGCGGCGGCGAGCCCGGGGAGCGGCGGAGAACGCAGGGCGGCCTCCTCCGGGGGGCTGGTCAGGACCGGGCCCGGCGGCGCGCCCCGCCACGGGGCCCGGCCGCGGGAAGCGGCGGGGAGGCGGGGCGGCCGAGGAAGTGGCAGGCCTGGGGGTGGGGCGCTGGGGCAGGGCTCCGAGGAGCGCGGCGAGCGGCCCGGAGGCCCGGGGGCCTGGATGGACGGGAGGGCGACAGGCGAACGGCCGCCGGGCCCGCCGAGACTGCGCGTGCGCGCGAGGGCCCCCCGAGGGTCGGGGGCGAGGGGGAGGCGCCCGGCGGGGTGGGGGAGGGGACGCGAGGTCGGGGCCTCGCACAATAACAAACCGCAGCCCTTTCCGACCCCCGCCTCTCAGCGGCCCGTTTCCCGCGCCTCGAGATGCACTCACTCAGGCACAGGGTCCGTGCGGGCCCCCAGCGGCTGCGGCGTTGGCGGGTGGCGCGTCTGTCGCTCGCTCTGTCCCGGCGGCCCCGCTCCGGCGCGTCCCTCCTCCGGCCCCAGCACCCGCTGCAGCGCCCCCACTTCCGGTTCCCCTGCCACTCAGGCAAATGCCTTCCGGAAGTCCCGCCCCATCCTGCCCGGCCTCCACTTGCCTCTCTCGCTCTCTCTTTCTGCGGGTGCTTGGTGCTAGCCCCAAGCTGTCCTGCCGGGCCCCTCCGAGTTCCGCGCTTTGTTCTCTATCCTGCCCTTGGTTTGCATGTAGTCTGCGCGACTTGGGCCTCTATCTTTCCTTCCGCTGCATCCCTCAATCCTGCGTTCATATCACCGCAGCGTCGAGATGGCATTCAGGACAATGTGCGGTGACCTCACGCTGACGCCATTCCTTTCCCACCCCGCCAACCTGGCTTCCTTCTCCACCCCGTGGAGTAAACCAAATTGCTGCCAGAGGGAGGGAAATAGGGCCCCGAGGTTAATGAGGCAGTGCCTCACATTCATGGGTGGAATTTCTGTTTCTATGATGAATGTACGGATTTTGGATGACCTCCTCTTAAGCTGATACCATAGCAGGGGTATGGAGAGCCAGCGTCTTTTTCTTTTAGAGATCCATCCAGTTTCAGGGAAGACGTGTGTGTGTGCGCGCGCGTACAGTCAATATGAAAAGACGATGTGCTAAATGCTATATAAATGCGGGATCTGTAACAGCAAAGAGGTGGGGCAAAAGATGAACGCAGGCTATAGTTGGCAAAACGTTTGGTTGAGCAACATCCAGAGCCGGCCCTTTAAAAATGAATGGGATCCATTCAGATCCTTGTCTGAATTGTAGAGCCTTCCAGAGCTCTGAAAATGATCAGGGGGCTTGTTTTTGCAGACAAAACCCGTTAAGGATTGCTGTGAAAATCTGGAAGCCTAAAGTTTCAAGGTATATCAAATTGTTCTTCAGATGACCTGTGCTGTCAAATGATTTGTCAGGCATATAGAATCCAAAATAATTTGTCCTCCTATAAAATGCTAAGTTACCTTAGAATTCTCTTGCAGACGTTCACACAATATATAGCACCCCAGTAGGTAAATTGTTGATGTAAATGTTTTATTGAAAAGAATTTGTAAAAAAAAAAAAAAGAAAAAAATTTGTGTTTGGGGAACTCAAATGATGTGTCAGGTAGAATAGAAAAAGGAGCCCAAGATGGCAGAAACACCGGGTCGGGTGGGGTCCCATAAAACGGGAAGTGGAGGACCAGAGCCAGAACCTACCGTCCTGGGCGTGACCAGTCAGGCTCCAGGAGGAGGAGACAGCATAAGAAGGGAAGCCAAGAGGAAAGGGGCTTCTTCAGGGCCTGCCCTCTCTTGGGTCTTGGGAGCTTACTGCTCTTTTCCCTCTTGAGCTGTGACATCTGTAGCTACTTTCTTAGGAATACTGCCTGCTTAATAAAATCTGATTTGTTTGAGCTATAGGTGGCTGATCATTGCATATCTTTGCTATGTGAAGACAAGAACCAAGGGGGAGGGGTATACAATCTGACAATGGTATAAAAAGCAATCTGGAAATGTATTAATAACAGAAGACAGAGCTTGACTTATTCTCCAGGGATAAATCCGTGGAATCCTGAATTTCCTCAAATTTATTTATTTATTTTAATTTGTTAATTGTTTATTTATTGAGAGACTATTTCTCACCCCAGATAGTCATAGTTTCATAGTTCAGGAACACAGGAAAGTGACAAACTTCCATGGAACTCAACCCAAAGAAATTCTTTATATTCCAAATCACTTTGCACTCTGAAAGATACCAGCCTTCCTCATCTCCTCAAAATCTTTCATGGAATCATAATTTCTGTAGAAATCTGCATATGCCTTCTTTCTTCGTTCAGCCACAACAAACTTACAGAAAGTTGCAAACCCCAGGGAGGCCATGAATGCTCCAACAATCTGAAATCACAGACATGTGGCCAGGAGGCCAGGCATCTGAGGTTTTGCCAAAACAGTGGACACGGTAGTTTTTCTTCTCAATGGCTCAACCGTGACGTCCTTCTGAATTTCCTCAATTTTAACACTCAACACACTATAATGTAATTACTACTTTAATATACTGTCTCCCCTGCTACATTCTAAGCTCTGAGGGAGCAGAGACCTTGTGTGGATTCCCGGTACCTGGCATGATGCCCAGTGAATAGCAGATACTCATTAAATGTTGGTCAACCAGGAATAAATGATCAAGGGTTGAATTTGTGCCTATGTGGTAGCTATGACCTATCTGTATATTTTCTTGTCTTCAACTTTTTAATTAAGAAATACAAACAAGGGAAATGTGCCCCCAGAGAACACTAGTTAAACTAGTCTCTGCAAATATTTGAAGACCTCTATGGCTCAGACAGGCTTCCCACCTGTCACTAGTAGTAAAGAACCTGCCTGGCAGTGCAGAACACATAAGAGATGCAGGTTGGATCGCTGGGTCAGGAAGATCTCTTGGAAGAGGGCATGGCAACCCACTGAAGTATACTTGCTTGGAGAGTCCTATGGACAGGGGAGCCTGGCCAGCTACAGTTAATGGGGTTGCAAAGAGTTGGACACGACTGAAGCAACTTAGCATACACACATGGTTCAGGCAGTTTTTAGTGTTTAATAAGGCAAACATCTCAATGTCACCGAACCCTGAAATTTATGAAGAGGTTGTCTCCTAATAGGTCTGTTTTGGCTTTCTAAATAATGACTTTTTTTTAAATGTATTTATTTATTTATTTGGCTGCACCAGGTCTTAGTTGTGGTATGTGGGATCTAGTTCCCTGACCAGGGATCAAACCTGGACCCCCTGCATTGGGAGCACAGAGTCTTAACCACTGGACCACCAGGGAAGTCCCCCTAAATAGTGATTTTAAAAAATGCAGGTGGTAGCGTGAAAAGGACCATAAATTAGGCTTCAGAATACCCTGGATTCTTGTCTGAAGGTTACTGCTCACTTTCCTTTCTTGAACCTTTGTTTCTTAGTCTGTAAGATGAGAAGGATATACTAGGTCATTGCAAAATTCTTTTTAGCTCTTAGCCGCCACTGTCCCCTCAGTCCCCCGCAGGAACATAACTCTGGGGTATGCAACCCTATCTCACTTCTCCTCACTTCCCACACACAAGCTCCCCTCCCCCTGGGCCCCATTCAGGATCTGTGTTTTCCATAATTTTCTGTATCACCATACAATTGGTGATAGGTAAAAATAGCTGTTTTCGACTCTGAAACAAATTGAAAGCTATCAGGAGAGCTTGCCCTTCAAGTTGTTTTTCCATTAATGATGATAGGTTTAATGAATCTACCTGGATTCTTTCGTCTGGTTTCCCACAGCTGAATGCCAGCCCAAAGGGAGAAAATATAGAAACCCTGACAAAAGGTTTGTGGACTGACTGTTGCTGTTTAGCTGCTAAGTCATGTCTGGCTCTTTTGAGACCCCCATGTCACATCCTCTGCCCATGGGATTTCCCAGGCAAGAATCCTAGAATTGGTTGCATTTCCTTCTCCAGGGGATCTTCCCTACCCAAGGATCGAACTTGCATCTCCTGCATTGGGAGGTGGATTCTTTACCACTGAGCCATCAGGGGACTGATTTGAGTATCATAAACATAATCAAATGTAAACCTAGGACTTTAAGAATGAGATGTGTCAAAATACCACCCAAGTGGCCTGAATTTAGGAGACTACTTGACATTTCATCACTTAGAGTAATTAAACTGGGAGACTTCTGGGGACCCTGGCATTTCAGATATTAAAGGAAAGAAGGAAAGCTATGTGGTCTGAGAATGGACTCACAGTGTGAATCCAGGGAATTTCTGTGGGTAGAACGCAAGGTCAGATGGTTTACAGAAATGTTTCCAAGTTATATTTATTGTTGAAACAACATTAAGAGATATTTTAATGGAAAAAAAATTTTACTCCCATTCTCATGAATTAACACATTTTCATTAACACATTCGTCTCAATTTCTTTCCATCAGTAGCCATAATGTCGATATATATTTTAATTCTCAGTTTTAAGATCTTTGTGAACAAGTCAAGATACTGTTAGAAATAATGTAAAGAACATATTATAACAGCATTTTTGTCTTCCCAACTGAAAGTTGTTAGTTTGTCACATTTTTATATATATTTTTTAACAATGTGTATGTATATGGTTTAATATCATTATAAATGCACAAATTGAAACACATATGATGTTTCATTCATTACAATCATTACACTGATTGATAACTAGATTGTTCCCAAGTGATCCTATTTAAGTTGGCTCCTGAGTCATTTTGACATAACCAAACATTGATCTGTTTTCTGTCACTTTAGTTTTGTTCTTTCTTCAATTTCAATAAATAGTATCAACCTTTGTTTCTGGCTTCTTCTGTTTGATATGATACATTAAGATTCATTCACATCGTGTGTCAGAAGTTCACTCCTTTTTATTTTCTAGTAATATGCTGTTGATGTATATTCTACAGTTTGTTAATCCAGTCAATAGTTAATGATCATTTGGGTTGTTTCTGGTTTTGCTTATTATAAATAAAATGAAGATAAAAGTTCCTGTTATAAATCTTTGCATGGATATATGTTTTCCTTTCTGTTGGATCTCTTGGATCTAGGAATGGAAATACTGAGTCATATGGTAAGTGTATGTTTAGCGTTATAGTAAACAGCCCATCTGTTTTCCAAAGGGATTGATCATTTTACACCCCTGTCAGCAGTGTGAGGGTTCCAGTTGCTCCGAATCCTTGACAATGCATAATATTATCAGTTAAAAAAATTGGTGAAAGTCTCTCAGTCATGTCTGACTCTTTGCAATCCCATGGACAGTAGTCCATAGAATTCTCCAGGCCAGAATACTGGAGTGAGTAGCCTTTCCCTTCTCCAGGGGATCTTTCCAACCCAGGGATCAAACCCAGGTCTCCCGCATTGCAGACAGATTCTTTACCAGCTGAGCCACATAGCCATTCTAGTTGTTCTGTAATGATATCTCATGGTGGTTTTAATTTGCATTTCCCTGATGATATTAAGCTTCTTTTCATATTCTTTTAGGCCATTTATATATCTTCTTTTTCAAAGTGCCTGTTCAACTCTTTTTAGAAAAATATTAGACTGTCTTCTTATTACTGAATTGTAAAAGTTCTTTTATATTTATAATAAAAGTCCTTTGTTAATATATGTACTTCGAACATTTTCCCCCCAATCTGTGGCTTGTGCTTTCATTTTCTTAACAGTATCTTTCAAAGAACAGAGGTTTTTAAACTTTGGTATGTGTGTTAGTCATGTTAGTCGCTCAGCCGTGTCCGACTCTTTGCGACCCCATGGACTGTAGCCCACCAGGCTCCTTTGTCGGTGGGATTCTCCAGGCAAGACTACTGGAATGGGCTGCCATTTCCTTAGACAGTCTTACTTTGGTAAGGTACAGTTTATCATTCTTTAATTTACAGTGTGTGATTTTTGTGTTCTATTTAAGAAATCTTTATCTACTATTAATTACAATAGAGTTTCTCCTATGTTTTTAAAGTTTTATAGCTTTAAGTTTTACATTTCAGTTAGTAATCCTATTTAAGGTAATTTTGGTGTGTGGTGTGAAGTAAAGAGCAAAGTCAATTTATTTGCATATGGATATCCAATTTTCCCTGCACTGTTTGTTCAAGAGGTTTTTCTTTTTTCCATTGAATTACTGTGGCCACTTTATTTAAATACAATTGACTCAATTTCAGACTTATATACTGTTCCATTTATCTTTATGTCTATCTTTACAGCAATACCAGACAATCTTAATTACTGTAACTACATAGTAACTCTTAAAATCAGTCAGTCTAAGTCTTCTAGCTATCGTCTTTTTCAAAATTGTTTTGACAACCTAGATAATTTGTATTTCCATATAAATTGTATTTATTTATTTATTGGCTGTGCCTCATGGCTTGCAGGATCTTAGTTCCCAGATGAGGGACTGAATCCAGGCCCTGGCAGTGAAAACACCAAGTCCTAACCACTGGACCACCAGATAATTCCCTCCAGGTAAATTTTAGGATGAAGCTCTTGATTTCCTTAAAAAGCTTTTTACAATTTTGATTAAGATGCACTGCATACATGTTTAAGGAGAAATGACAACAACATTAAGTCTTCTGATTCATGAATAGTGTTTACTGTCCCATTACTTTATTTTATCTTTTTTGGCCTTGCCATGTGGTATGCGAGATCTTAGTTCCCCAACCAGGGATTGAACCCATGCCCCTGAAGTGGAAGCACAGAGACTTTTTTTCCTTTTTTTTTTAGTTGGAGGATAATTGCTTTACAATGTTTTGCTAGTTTCTGCTGTACAACAATGTGAATCAGTTATAAGTATACATATATCCCCTTGCTCTTGAACCACCCTCTTACCCTCCCCAGCCACCCCTCTAGGCTGTCCACAGAGCAGCCTAGCTCCCTGTGGGGCCTGAGCTCCCTGTGTCTTGCAGTAACTTCCCACTGCTGCTGCTGCTGCTGCTAAGTCATTTCAGTCGTGTCCGACTCTGTGAGATCCCATAGATGGCAGCCCACCAGGCTCCCCTGTCCCTGGGATTCTCCAGGCAAGAACACTGGAGTGGGTTGCCATTTCCTTCTCCAGTGCATGAAAGTGAAAAGTGAAAGTGAAGTCGCTCAGTCATGTCTGACTCTTAGCGACCCCATTGACTGCAGCCTACTAGGCTCTTCTGTCCATGGGATTTTCCAGGCGAGAGTACTGGAGTGGGGTGCCATTGCCTTCTCCGAACTTCCCACTAGCTAGCTATTTTACGTGTGGCAATGTATATGTTTCAGTGCTACTCTCAATTCGTTTCACCCTCTCCTTCCCAAGTTGTGTCTGTCCTTTATGTCTTTGTTTCTATTCCTGCCCTGCAAATAGATTCATCAGTACCATTTTTCTAGATTCTGTATATAGGTTGTTAATATAC